GAAGCCCGGCCACTCTGCCAAGTTGCAGTGGGAGCACAGGCCTGTCAATCAGAGGGGACTGGCTGGCCAGTGATGAACCCTGGCAGCTTCATTTCAACACATTTGAGGGTGGAATTAGAAAATAAAAAGGAATCAAGTCCCGGAGGCTGGGGCAAATCTGGCAGGCCTAAGCTCCCCTTCCTGCTCAGAGCCAGGGTGGGTCACTCTGCCCTCAGAGGGCACAGCAGAAGCAGCCTCCCCAATCCCGCCAGCCCGGCCCCTGGGGATCTGAAAAGGCAGTGGCTCCGAGGCCCCCCCCCCCACAAGCAAGTGATCCACATCCTTCCTGTGGTTCTCCCCTAACCCTCCTTCCATGCCTACTGTATTACTGCTCAATCCGTTGTGTCTCCTGCTCAGAATTTTAAAAATTCAAAACCACGCCTGCTCCCTGGAGTGAAAGAACACCCAGATGGAAATGCAAGATGGGAACTGGAACAAGAGCGACAGCTGCACCTGGGGTCATGGTGGTGAGCACCACGCTCTGGCTCAGGACAGGATGCTACATCAGCCCAGGGACTCACTCGGGTCCTTTCCTGTCCACCATCCTGGCTGTTCCCTGCTTCCTGGTCTCGCAGCTGCTCTGCACAATTGTACAATCAAGTCCCAATTCAGCTCAGGTTTGACTAATTTCTCAATTGAACATTTAATTGGGGGGTGAGAGTTCTTCCCTTAATTTTCAGAGTAGAGCAGCTTCAAAGGAAATGACGTTGAACTGTCTCACTTTGGAAAGCTCAGATTGCTAAGACCTTATGCCTCAAAGAAAATAAGCACATACCCCTGGAGCCAGGAGACTCCCTAGCCTAGGGGGAGATGCTACAGGAGGTTCCTCATCTTGGACTCAGAACTAAACCCCAGAGCAAGAAGGGCTAGATAAAGGGAACTTGATAATTCAAAGGTAGTGGTTTGATTCTAAGTCATGCCACTAAGCAAGCAGCAGAGCAAATTTCCATACAAGACGTTAAGAAATGCCGGGTGGAGGACGTGTGGTATTTGGAGGGAAGAAACCATAATAATATGTTGAACTTTCAAAAGGAGAGAACAAACCTAAGGATACTAGAGATGAAGGGGAGGCAGGGAGGTGGGTTAAGGGACATATGGTGGGGAGTGACTGGTTGGTTAAGTGACATAAAGAATAATTACAATTTGTAATAATGAATATGATAAAAAATACAAAAAATAATAAAGGTAACAAAAAAAAAAAAAGAAAAAAAAAAAAAAAAAGAAAAAAAAAAAAAAAAAGAAAAAAAAAAAAAAAAAGAAAAAAAAAAAAAAAAAGAAAAAAAAAAAAAAAAAGAAAAAAAAAAAAAAAAAGAAAAAAAAAAAAAAAAAGAAAAAAAAAAAAAAAAAGAAAAAAAAAAAAAAAAAGAAAAAAAAAAAAAAAAAGAAAAAAAAAAAAAAAAAGAAAAAAAAAAAAAAAAAGAAAGAAAAAAAAGAAAAATCCCAGTTACTTTCATCTCTCGGCAAACCCAGGAAAGAAAGGGAGACACTGCTGAAGAACTTCTGCACAAAAGCCCTTCACCTAGATCAGAGTCAGGCTCGCTCAGCCCCTGGCTGTCCAGTCCCACAGTTAGCAGCTCAC